TGCACCACCAATGAGCTCTGCAATTCATCAAGTGACAAATCATCTATATCTTTAGATTCTTCTATAGCACAAACAACAAAGTTAAATTTTGCTGTTAATGATCGAGGAATTTTTTCTATGACAGTTATTTCTTCTGTCCTGCCTCCATGAATTCGCATTTTATTGACAATGGTCATCACGCGAGAGAAATAATCTGCAATTGATTCTCCCGACTTCATTCGAAGTGTTTCGAATTCCGAGCGTAAAGCTTGAAGCTGCTGCCTCTTTGCTCTTGCAGAGCCTTGATACTTCTTTTTCATGGAGTCCCAAATATCCTTGGAAGTTTCTTTGGAAAGAATGGTTTCCAAGATAGAACGGTCAATGGCCTGGAAGAGATAATTCTTCGCCTTCAAATCCTTCAACTTTACTGCTTCATGAGCTGCTCGTTGTGCTGCTGTCAACTGAGCTCCTTCTGCTAGTGCTGGTTCAACAACACCATTGGTAACTACATCCCAATATTCCTTGGATCGAAGGAAATTCTCCATCAACATGCTCCAATGATCATAATGACCATCGAAACGTGGAATGGCTGCTTGCACAAAATTAGAATCTGTGGCCATGACTCTTTAGTTTTTTTTTTTTCACAACTCAATTCCCTCACGTGTTTAACTCTCAACCTGGCTCTTGATACCGCTGTTGGGACATTCGTTCCCTCAAACTCCAATGTCAAGCAGGTCCAGGGGAAGCCCGTGGCGGGGAACCACCACCAATGAGTTAAGGCTACACCAACCGTAGCAAGTGGATCCGACACCAAAACCTTAAGGCTACACCAAAACCTTAAGGCTGTAGGTTTATGGGTCTTTTGCACTTATATGGTCATCACTTGGTCTATGTCTAGTCTATGTGATACTTCTTTACAACTCATACTTGATTATTTCCAACATCCTTATATTCGCAGTAAAAAAATGTAACTATTTTTTCTTATAAATAGAAAAAAAAACTTATGAAGATAAAAAAGAAATTATAATAAGTATATGGCACAATAATTTTCATCCAAACTCACTGATAAAGTAAGAGAGGTTTTCTACCCAAAAAAAAAAGTAAGAGAGGAGCTAGCGGGGACAATCGTTTCTTCTCAAATTTATACAAATCTTTAGAATTGAACATTATTTCTGATTTTTTGGTCATATATTTGAAGCTCACCTCCCTTTGAAACTTATAGAAATATTTAATTATAAGATAAAATCATTTTTCCAGCTGCTTGACGTCCAGCAATGACAGACGTATGATTATAATTTTTCATATTTAATGTTTTCATATTTTGTATGGTTATGATTTCTCACATTTAATATTTTTACCTATATATATGATAAATATTTAACTGTTGGACGTCAAACGACTGGAGAAATATAAATATCTAATTATAAATATAATTTTTTATTTTTTTTATCACATAAATAGTTATAATTTTTTTTTATTTCATAGCTTTAAACAGAATTTTTTTCTCGCTGGGCCATTTTTGCTTCTTGGTTGGTTGGTGACAATTACCACATGTGCCATGTCAGTTAGTACTTGGTATTTCCATTTGTCACTTTGTACAACATTTTCCTGATAAATGAGCACATATATATTAGAAAACATATTACGGAAGGTAAACAAGAAAAAAAATATATTCAACTATATGTTTATTTAATGGTCTGATAATGTTTGTGATTTGCTATTTTTGTTCCATCAAATATCTTATCTCCAAAAAAAAAATACCATCAAATATCTTTAAACAAACTAATAGTTGAATTTATTTCTCACTTTGAACAATATAATTGAATCAGTTTTATTAATATAAATAAGGGATAATTTATTCTACTTACATTTTTTTCTGCCTACTATTATAAAAGATCATTAGATCAGAATCTTAATTAATATTTATTTTTCTCTTTTCTTTTTAGATTCTGATCTAATGGTTTTTAGACTGGTAGCTAAAGATAGGCAGAAAAAATGATAAGTTAAGTAACCTATCCCTACGAATAAAACACTAAATTTGTAAAAGAACACACACGCGCTCAATATAATTCTCAAGCAATATTTACGAGCGTAATGGTATAGAATTATTGATCTTGAGTATTCAAACCTAATATATGCCATAATGATGATTGTTCCTTCTTTGTGCCAAATACCATTTCTTCAAAACCTAATATATGCCATAATGATTTGTGACAAATCCCATTTCTTCAAAATTTAGGCTGTTGCTTATAGTGCTGTCTGAATCATAGTCCATATCATGAGACCACTCAAACCACTATATATGATTGACAATTAACATAATAATCCCGGGACACTAATGATTAACATTGTCCTGTTTCCCCATAAATTTTAAATTTTCAAAGGTAATAAAAAAGTTACTGAATAAGATATCCACAAATTTATTTATTTTTTTGTATTATCCACAAATTCTTTTTTAGAAAGGGGTCAAAGATGCTATTGTGCTATTAATGTCATTGTTTATTTTGTGATTTTATTTTGGATACAGTAACACTACTTTTGTTTTTCCTCCTGGTTTCTTTCTTTATTTATTTATCTATTTATTTAGGTAAAGTTCTTTTCTACATTAAGAGAGCCAAATTATGAACTCGATCTTAATCCCACTTGGTTGTTTGAGTAATGTCTAAGTGACATAAAGTAAAGTAACTCTTAATATTTTTTTTTTTTGCCAAATCCCAATGAAACAATACAATCATGTCAGTAATTTATGCATAATTATCTACAACAAAAAACTTGTGCGGATAAAAATATTCATTCTAAGGGAGCTATGCCTCAATTATTATTTTTGTATCAATTCAGATAAATATAGTTTTTTTTAATTTTACATGAACAATTATGAGAACAGTATACTCCTATCATCAAAATAATTATTTGACCTTTGGCCAACCATAGGTTTAAGGCTGGAAAGTGGCAAATGTGTCAGCACCACATCACCAGGAGGCAAGTTCACCATTTGTTTTAAGTTTTAAGTTTTAACCTATTGGAACATAAAAAGTAGAGGCTTCATGGGCCACATGGGTCCCTCTGTACCCTGATTCATTGAAAAGCTTTCCAGAAATAGGACAATGGCCCAGCATGATTGACTTTTGATGGGCCAATGATGGGTCCATCATTGAAGGCCCATACCTCCACTACTTATTACAATTCTTGGGAAGTACTCTGAAACTCTTACACCATTCATTGGATGAAATTGAATGATACCCAAATAAGATGCTTTTAACATTAAAATAATAATAAGAAGAAGCTTGACTTCAAAGAAAGGTGACACCCTCTTTCAATTGGGAAAAATAATAAGAAAAATAATCTTCAAGTTCAGGTCTCCACCAAGGCACATGCCAAACATATAATGAGGTCCAATTCCTTTTACTTTAGGTATAACCATTCTTTCTGCCAATACTATTTATTCATCAATGTTACTTTCCATTTCTTATTTGGTTTTTACCTTTTCAAATTTGGAGGGGCTATTAACATCTGGCAAACCAAGCAACTAGAAGTTCCTATCATCTCTGCTAATGGCTCCAACTTGCAGTAAACAAAAATAATTGCAGGGATTTTTCTGTGTTGATTGATGGGGAATATCAATTAGGATAGTTTTTTAATACATAATGATTGATGCAAATATATTAAATTTAAAAAGTGTTGGTTATTAAAATCTAGTATAATGTATACAAAATTTGGAATCCAATTTTTGTTTTTATAGAAAAGGGACAAAAACTAGAAGAATTGTTTTTTTTTTTTTGGATAAACAACAGTTATCTTCTACGAAAGACAATTTAGTTCGGGGCGGGTTCAGAATTAAAACTTTAAATTCCTCCCAAAAATGATACTTGGGAGGATCGAACACATACTCTCACCCTCACCTGCTCAGTTTTCATGTGCCAACTGAGCTATCATCATTTGGTAAAAAAAAATAAAAAAAAATAACTACAAGAATGGAAAAGTGACTTTTGATGTAACATGGAGTAAAAAAGAATGGAATAGTATGTACTTTGAAGATCCACCACAAATGTTTTATCAGTGTAACATATTAAGTTGAACTACATTTTTTGCTTGAGAGTGAAGAGAATGGATTGGAAATTAATGAAAGCAAATTTACATGCGTAATAAAGTAGTGCACTTATTTTCCACAATTTTCGTGCTTATGTTTTGACGACAAAATCCAAAATAATTGAAGTCACGCAAAGATTAAGAAAATACTATTTTCGTACTTTGGTGCTTTGTTCCACTTTGGATCTATCTTTCATTGAGATTAAAACAAGATTAAGAAAATACAAAGAAGTTAGTTCTGAAATATACTGAACCAAAATGATATAAGTTTCTATACTTTAGATTTTTCTTTTCTTTTTTTAATTTTGTCATGGGATTGGGAAGGAGAAGCCCAAGATATAGGATGGTGCATGGGATAACCAATATCCAGATCATTAAGAAAAGGGTAAATAAGCTAATAAAAGGGTTTACCCTTTCCTTATGCATAAGCCCAAGATATCCAAGGTTGTGTGCAATCGACTCTCATCCTCTATTCTTTTTTAAGATATAGGATGAAACCACTCTATATAATAATAATAAAGTAATAACTCTTATCATACCATCCACTTTGCAAACAATGTAAAGGAAATTTCACTTTCATTCCATCATAAAGCATCTAAATAAGGGTATGATAATTTTATTGCATTCTAATTCATTTTATTTCATTCCACCCATAATTAGATATCTAAACCTAAAGCATTCATGATTTATGTGCTCAAAGTTTGTTACCATTTTTATTTTATTTTTTTGTGTCTTTACTGCTTTGGAGGATATTTTTCTTTATTTAATTGTATTTCTCTCTATTATTCTCTTTGGAAAAATCTGATTCCATCCAGAACAAAAGATCCAATTCATTACTACATTTCGAGTCTAAACATATGGCTTGATGATGAACCAACGAACCCTCAACTCCTCAAGTACCATAACACACACTCATTCAGACCAAAGGCTAATGCTCCTCCTTCAAAAGAATGACACAATCTAATAGTACATTTAATGTTCAAAAAGAATGACATTAAAATGGGGGAAATTAGTAAAATTAAATGATATCATCTTCCGTAAAGTCTATCAATTTTCTTATGCTCTATATAAAGCCTTCCTCCCCAAAGAAGGTAAGAAAAGTAAAAAGGGAAAAATGAGTGGAATAAAAGATGAAAAAAAAGAAAAAACACAAAAAGGTGTCCCCTGACAAGATGAAATGTGCATTAGAAAGAGAAAGATCAATGGATAGAAAATGGTTGCAATGCTAGCAGCTCGTAGCTGTATAGCATCACAAAAGTAAGCAATTCCTCAAGTACCTTCTTAGCTTCCGTATCTTCATAAATATAAGGACAAATACTATTCATCAGATTCCATAGTTGGACTCTGAGTGCAGCTGTCCTTTTCATGGAGTTCCAACATTCTCTTTTCTGGATTACAGAGTCCTGTAGATAAACAATATCCAGATCATTAAGAAAATTATTTTCCTTTGATTTATACTACATGATATAAAAGGATAAACCCCAGTGCATAAAGCTCCTCGACTTGGGAGAATAGGGGGTGAGAGTCGATTGTACGGAGCCTTACTATTACAATTTTACAAAAGAAACTGTTTCACTGACTCAACCCATGGATCACAAGGAGCAACCTTACCGTTCCTCCAAGACTCACTCTCTTACATTGCATGTATATCTTTGACCAAAAATCATTAAATGCTGACTAAAGATCTAATCATGCACAATAACTCTAATAAAAGAAACTCACCAAAAACAAATTCATATTTTATGGATCAGATCATATTCGATCCTCAAACGTGTTGGACCATTCTTAAATCTTATGCATGAATGCATATAGCCTATACCTAATATGCAAGTGACCATTCACTTTGATGACTGCAAACTTGGCAGTACATTCCTTTTACTCTCAAATATTACTTTTTCTATGAAAAACATGCACCTTAATAGGACAGAAATATAGAAGATAACATTGATAAGCTTGAAATAAAAATTATCCATGAGGTAGCCCGAATTACACAAGAATAATGATCTTTTGGGAGGCCCGACAGCATGAATTTCATGCATTTTACAGGCTACCCAAGGGAATGTTATCATACAAACTCCTGAATTCTAATATAACGTTTTGTGCAAGATAAAATACCAACCTGAACACTTTGGAATATCCCACACAGCGATTGATGTAGTCGTACACTCCGGAGAACAAAGTTCGTGATTATTCTCATGATTGACATTCATTGCAAGCATCAAAGCTCCAATGGTAACATCCTCGTTGCTAAACATCCGAAAACTGTGATTTATTTAAAAAAAGAAAAAGAAAAAAGGGATGTAAACATTACACTCAAAATAATAGGAATTGGGAAAGGGTGGCAACTGAATAAGGTTCATGTCATCATGTTTATCCATCATGATCTTCATGCCTTTGTGGCAAGAGGAAAGAAAGAAAGAAATTTTAAAACCTCATAAAATAAAACTAGTCTTTAAGGTCTAAAGTGTGATATTGTATGAATTGAATGGAGAAAAAGAAAGCAAGAAATCTGCTCTGCCCATAACTGCCAAGCAATTCAATGATTCATTTGAAGATATTATTTGTAAGAACCATTAATAAGAGCATATTCTCAATCCATTTTCGTCAGTGACACAACTCAACATGACTAAACACAGTACTTTAGGGAAATATCTCAGCTTTTCATTTTGTTAGGAACCTCGCTTGGTGCAAGTGTACTGTAGAAAGAGATGTAGGGGGATTACACCCCAAATAGTTAGAATTATGTGTGTAGTGTGTGTAGCATAGCTATTAGTCACAACAGCAAAGATAAATAGAAAAGGGGGGAATATTTTGGGGAAGCAAGAATTGTGTAAGGAGTCTTAGTTGGGAGAGGACATGCCTCTCGAAAGCCTGAATCAGTGGAAACAATACATATACTAACTGTTTTTCTTCTATTATGTGTTATTTGATTCTGGTTCTTACCACATTTTCATCAGAAAACAACATTAGAAACCAAATCAGATGGTCAATAAATCCACCACCCAGACATAGTTCTGATGAAGATATGAAATAGACAGTATTTGACCCATGCATGTGAACATATGCAAAATCCAATAGATAAGATAGAGGAAAAGCAGATATGCAGCATGCAAAGAAGGACGTATCTTCACGTTAATCTCAAAATTAAAAATAAAAAATAAAAAAACAACAAACAAAAAATCCAACATCTAAACATCAACAAGTGCATCAAGTGTTACTACAGTGAATATCAGCAAAACAATATGATAGAATACCATTGAAAGTGTATTCTAGGAGGCGTTGTATTTGATGGTGCTGACTCAGATAAAATAGCGAATGATAGTGGTAGGAATATTCTAGAGGCTGAGGTGGAAAGAAATCCTGTTAGTATAGAGGACAATTCTGTTGGAAGAGAGAGAGAGAGGAGTACCGTGGGAAGTTAGTTACAGCACTATATGTAAGTAGGTGTGAGAAGTAGGAGTTTTTAGGATGGAATTGGGCATGGGAATGGGAGAGACTCAGCCCTCACGAATGTGCTGGGATTATGTGTTTTCTTATTGAGTCTTTAGCGAATTTGTCTTTCAATTTGTATTTGCTTTTCAGTAATAAAAATGCAGAAAATCCAGACTTCCTCTGGGCCAAAAATCACTTGTTTCCTTTGAATTCCTGTTAAATTAGAGTGGATCTATCACAATATTATTACTAACAAATGCATGTGAGTAATTTGTGAACCTACTGCTTACTGAAGATCAAGTGACCAAAATATTAAGTTGTGGAGAAAGAAAAACTTGCCTGTTATTCCTAAGAGCGACCAAGCTTGATACAACATCAGCAGAAAGAGCATATATAGGACCATAAGCATGAAGAAAATACTCACTGCCAAGCAAATGAGATAGTGGCTCATACCTGCAAGAATTATCAGTATAATTACTCCAAAAGCCAAAGAAGTTATATAAATGAAAACTTTTGATTGTCGCTATAGCGATGAGGCTAGATAGCACACTACGTAACATTTTCAACCCAAAAAAAGGAAGATAAATAACAATTTAGACCTGCCAAAAAATTGGACAATCCTCAAATTGTTCATTGTTGTAAATACTTGTATTTGTTTATTTATTTCCATTCTATAATCTTCTTTTGAGCTTAGCCCATTAGGTTATTTAATCTCTTTAAATAGAGAGTAATTGTACAGATGTAAAATACAATTATCAAATAATATAATCCCTTCTATTTTCAACTTGGTATCAGAGCTCTCGATCCTGAGGGCTCTGTTTCCGCCTTTAGAGTGGAACCCTATTTGTTTCCCTCTCGCCCCCAATAGCCACTACCGGAAAAAAAAAATTGAGGGACCTTTTGGACCAAGAGGATTACTGTTTGACTCCATTTTTCCAGATCTATCAATCCACGGACGTTTTCCAAAAAAAAAACTATTGTTCACACATACTGTTCATCAGCACTGTTCACGTGTTACTGTTCACGCCAGAGTCAGAAGCCGTTTGGGTTTGCGTTTGTGTGATTTTTACCTCAAGTTGCAGTCTTTTTTGTCCCCTTTTTTGGCAAATCTGATAATTCTGCCTCTATTTGGACTCTCCGCATACCTTTGGGGTAATTTTTCATCAATTTGAGACTAATTTGTTTCTTTTGAGGTTATTTTAGCATTATGGCGGGTTCTTATGGTGCATCTTCGGAATTTATTTCTATTCGCCGAGATGAGTTGGAGCAGATTCGGACCATGCTTGATTCTCTGAGTAAGCCATCTAGTACTAGTGTTTTGACTATGACTGGTATGAACTCTACTACTCATTCTTTTCTTACTTGTACTGATTTTAAACAATCTTGGATTATCGATTATGGTGCTACTGATCATATGACTTGTTGTGTTGACTCTTTTCTCTCTTATAACCCTACTATTGGCACCGATATAATAACCGTAGCTAATGGCTCACACAGATCAGTTGCGGGTTATGATAACGTTTTTCCTTCTAGTACTATTAAAAGTGTTGAGCCTTTTGATCTTGTTCATTCTGATGTTTGGGGTCCTTCTAAAGTTTCTCATGCTTCTGGTAATAAATGGTTTATTGCACTCGTGTAACCTGGGTTTATTCAATGCATGAAAAATCTGAGGTACCACAATTATTCTTTCGATTTTATAAAATGATTGAGACCCAATTTGTTAAAAGAATTAAAAGACTAAGCTCTGACAATGGTACCAAATATGTCAATCAACGTCTTTCCCAATTCATCCAAGGTCAGGGCATAATTCATGAACTTATTTGTGTGGACACCCCTCAACAAAATGGGGTTGCTAAGAGGAAGAATCGTCATCTTCTTGAAGTTGCCTGTGCCTTACTTTTTCAGAATCATGTACCCAATTGCTACTAGGGAGATGTCATTCTTAATGCAGCTTTCTTAATCAATTGCTTTCCCTCTCGGGCTTAACAATGTAAGTCTTATTCACTCAATGACTTCATTTTTTCCCTCTGTTCCCTCTATGCAGAGTCTTCAGCCACGAGTGTTTGGGTGTGTTGCCTTCGTCCATCTTCATAAACACCATCGCAGTAAATTGGATCCTAGGGCTCTGAAACGTATCTTCCTTGGTTATGCTCATGATAAGAAAGGCTACAAGTGCTATTATCCTATTAGTTGAAAATTCTTTGTCTTCATGGATGTCACATTTCATGAATCTGAGTACTTTTTCCCAAGACCTCATCTTCAGGGGGAGAGCAGTTCTTCAGTAGATTCATCACCTTCTTTCTTTGAGTCTGGACCTTCCATGTCTTCTCCTACACCTCTTCCTCTTGTTTTTGATCCTCCTGTGTCTGACCCATCCAATACACCGGAAATACGGAGGATTGTGACACCTGAGTTGGTGTATCACAGGAGAAAGCAGCCCACACTGCTTCACCAGCAGCCTCAAGCTTCTAAACCATTGGTAAGTTTTGAATCTCTTGTTTCTGACCCTAATATTATTACTTTTCTTGTTTCTGAACCTAATATTATTGCCTCCTATGACTTGTCTGTTGCTTCTGATAACTTACCCAAAACCTCTGATGACTTACCTATTGCCCTAAGAAAAGAGAAAAGATCTTATACCCAACACCCTATCTCTCAGTTTGTCTCTTCTACTAATCTTTCTGTGCAGCACAAAAGTTTTATTTCAGCACTAAATTTTATCTCAATCCCCAAATCAGTACATGAAACATCAAAAGATGAGAATTGAGCTCAAGCCATGCAAGATTAGATGAATGCCTTGGAGAAAAATAAAACATGGGAGGTTGTTAATAGACCTGATGGAAAGAAAGCAGTAGGGTGCAAATGGGTTTATGTCTTGAAATATAATTCTGATGGTACTCTTGAGAGATATAAGCTCAGTTAGTTGTCAAGGGTTACATTCAAACCTATGGCAATGATTATGAAGAAACTTTTGCCCCAAATGCAAAGATTAATACTATGAGAGCTTTGTTGTCCCTTGCTGCCCATTACAACTGAGATATGAATCAATTTGATGTGAAGAATGCTTTCCTTAATGGTGAGTTAGAAGAAGAAGTGTACATGGAAATTCCACCTGGCTTTGACTCTATGGATGGAGGAAATAAAGTTTGCAGGTTGTTGAGATATATAGTCCCACATTGGTTGTATGTGCAACTAATGTGGAGTTTATAAGGCCTTGGGCACTCCCACTCTTTGAGCTAGCTTTTGGGGTGGTGTATCCCAAGGTTCTTTATATGGTATCAGAGCCTCGCCACCCCCCACTTTCTCTTGTGGAGTTTCTTAGCACAGGTAGGCTGGGCCTGTTGCATTGTCCACTCTTCAAACCCAATGGGCTCTCGTGTGAGGGGGCGTGTTATAGTCCCACATTGGTTGTATGTGCAACTAATGTGGAGTTTATAAGGCTTTGGGCACTCCCACTCTTTGAGCTAGCTTTTGGAGTGGTGTATCCCAAGGTTCTTTACACAGGTTAAAAAATGCCTTGTATGGATTGAAACAGTCTCCTCGTGTCTGGTTTGGGAGATTTACTAAGGTTATGATGGCCTTAGGATATAAACAGAGTCAAGGAGATCACACATTGTTCTTCAAGCACTCCCACGATGGGAAGCGAACTGTGTTCCTTGTGTATGTTGATGATATTATTATAACAGGTAATGATATTGCAGAGAGACATTTTCTACAAGCACGGCTAGCCTCTAAGTTTGAAATTAAAGATCTTGGGAGATTGAAATATTTCTTAGGGATAGAAGTAGATCATTTAAAGGAAGAAATTTTTATCAGACAAAGAAAATATGTCCTTGATCTTCATTAAAGAAGCGAGAAACCTTAGGTGTAAACCCTCTAGTACTCCTATTGAGTAGAATCAAAGGATGGGTTATGAAGAGTAGAGTCCTCCATTTGATAAAGAACAATATCAACGGTTAGTAGGGAGACTTATATATTTGGCTCATACTAGACCAGACCTAGCTTATGTTGTTAATATTGTGAGTCAGTTCATGCATAATCCAAAAGAAAAACACATGCAGGCAGTGGAGAGAATTCTTCAGTATTTCAAAGCCACTCCTGGTAAAGGACTGTTGTTCTGGCGTGATGGAAATCTCTCTTTAGAAGTTTATACTGATACTGATTATGCTGGATCCGTGACTGATCGTCGATCTACCACTGGCTATTGTATGTTTCTTTGTGGTAACTTAGTGACATGGAGGAGTAAGAAGCAAGACGTGGTTGCCAGATCGAGTGCAGAGGCTGAATTTCGAGCTATGGCTCAAGGTATTTGTGAATTATTGTGGTTGAGAATTATACTTGATCTCAAAATAAGATGTGAAGGACCTATGAAGCTGTTTTGTGATAATAATAATAATTCTGCCATTTGTATAGCTCATAATCCAATTCAACATGATCGGACTAAGCACATTGAGGTCGACCGTCATTTCATCAAAGAGAAGCTTGATAGCGGGTTGATCACCACTCCATACATCTCTTATGGACGTCAATTAGCTGATATTCTAACAAAGTGACTTCCCTTAGAAAGGTTTCAAGAGCTTACTAACAAGCTGGGAATGATAAATATCTTTTCCTCAGTTTCAGGGGAGTTTTGTAAATAATTGTATTTGTTTATTTATTTCTATTCTATAATCTTCTTTTGGGCTTAGCCCATTAGGTTATTTAGTCTCTTTAAATAAAGAGTAATTTTACAGATGTAAAATACAATTATCAAATAATATATCCCTTCTATTTTCAACTATCATCAACGGTATGATTGGATGCTTGGAGGATAAGGAAAGGGAAGAAATCAACAGAAAAAGGAAGAGAAGAAAAGTGATGGGATAAAAATAAGAGGTTAAATAATGACTTTCCTTCCCTTTGTTTCGATGTTTAAAATCCTCCAAAATTTGAGCAACTTTAATATGTTCACAAAAATGAATAAGGGAGGACCTTAGAGGATAATCATGCATTTTATAAACATCCAGACACATAAAAGGCTTATTAAAACATTCCCTTGCCCTCCTTTCTCCTCCATCAAAACATGCCCAAAAAATATAATTTTGGCAATGAAGTATCTTACAGGTCTAAAATTGCTTAATCCAGCCCCTTAGTGAATTGGGGATAATTTTCTATTTCACTATACGTGAGGCCGCCATAAAAAGAATGACATTTTTAACAATTATCATATATTTTGTGAGTAGATATATTTATATTTATTAGAACCTTAAAAATCAATGTACTGATGTACATAATCATAAATTCACATAATTTAATAATATTCTATTCTATTCTATAAGATCTTAGCTGAAGTTATATATTTATTTTAATTCAACTACAGTTGAACCACTGAACCTCAAGTTTAGAACCTAAACACACTTCTGCAAATTCAAATCCAGTCTCACTCTCCAACCTGGTTCTTAGAAACATATGACTCCACAACAAAAAGAAAGAAAACTACAAAAAGAATCAGTAAGAATTTGATCTCTCAGTAGTTTATTCAAAAAAGAAAAAAAAAAGGAATTTTCAAACTAACACAGATAATTAAAATTTACATCTGCTTGCCAAATTTACTATCAGACATTTGATCTCTCAAGCTAGTAATTATTGATTCGTAAATCCCACAAATAATATTAGTAATCTATATTTCCTTTTTAAGGAAAGAGCGTATTCAAGTCCAGATGGCAAGATATATTTATCCCATGCCATGACAGAAGCAATTTAATAATGGAACATGTTATCCCCAACAAAAAGTGACATGGTGAAAAATGTTGGGTAAATTAAGCCAGGACAGGATAAAATTAAAATCTTGGAGATAAAATATACTTAATCTAAACAGAACTAACCATTTGAGTTTTGGATCAGTGAAAACAGGACCCTTTTTCATGCATCCTATGTAAGTCTGAGGGTGAGATCTCTCTTTTGCCAGTAGTAACGAAAGACGATCTGACAATAAATTGAAGATGATTGCATAAAACTTAACTATAGGGGTAATCTTTAATCTCATAAATAAAGGTTATCACCATATTTAACCAAGTCAAGCGTTGAAAAATCTCACACCTGGCCTTAAATATATGTCATCATCAGCTTTGACATAAAAATCCGCATCAAAAAGTGCATAAGATGCTTTGAAGAAAGCCAACCTGTAATAAATGACCATATTCAACTTAGCAACACACTATAGACATAAACTACAACAGTTAAGTTATTCTCAGCACACACGTTTTGTATGGGAGCTTACTGTACTCCTCTTCAATATCCAATTGAATGAAATCATCATATTCTGCTACTTCCTTCTTAAGTGCGGACATCTTTGATCTATCACGCGTTCTACCAATAATAAACCTAAAAGCCAAGCCCGTGGCTTCTTCCAGACTGCAAGCAATATCAATCAATAAACACGAGCATATTAAATTAACACCACTTTCAGTCCCAATCTCCCTCAAAATATTCAATCCACCAACAAAACAAACAACCTACTTTGAGCACTATGCACACACTGCTAGATACATATAGATAAAAACTGAATGGAATCTAAACCAAACTTATAAAATGCGGATTGCGGCATGTCGTGGCCAACCCCAAAAAACACTATAGCGGGTTGTAATTGCGGAAATAGCGGAATAGATATATGACAGAAATAATGGAAAAATAAATAAATTTAAAGGCAGAAATAGCATAAGTGACAGAGAGAGACGCAGATAGACTAAAAAAGTCTTAAAAATTTTCAGTTACACATTTAAATTTAAGGACAAAATTGACATTTTGCCTTATGACAGCAATATGGCCGCAAATGCGACCGCAATGGCCATTATTGCGTTCCAATGAGGCGTGGAGTGACTTCTTGTGGCAGGCACCGCAACGTCCATACGGCGCTGCTCGTGGTGCTATTGCGGCGCAATTAACTACTATGATCTAAACTAGGCCATATAAAAACAGATAAGTGTTAGAATTATTTATAATTCTAGTGTGCTACAATTAATTGTGTTTTTTCTTGTTTTAATAAAAATGGCCACCATACTAGTGGGTGACACTATATTGGAGTTTGAGGCATAATAGAATTTCAGAACTCAGTGTCTCATTGTGGATTCCATTACTGTAATAACAGCGCAGCATTATTTTACAAGAAGCACCTAGCATCATTCATGAGCAAAACTTTCATGTAATACACAACTCATGAAGACATAACAGCACATGAAACTTCAAACCCTGATGCTACAAACAATCACATTCTCCAAAAGCAGAGCATCGATACAGTTGTACAACATATAGATAATTGAAAACACTCCCGATTAAATCCTGACTAACGAGAGTAGGAGTGAGTGCAATCCTTATACGCAACCTTACCCTTACATATTCCCAAAGAGGCTGTTTCCTTTCATGGAATACATATAGATAAATACTGAATGAAATATAAACTAGACCATATAAAAAACAGAGAAGAACCCAGCATAATTCATGAGTGAAACTTTCATGTAATACACAACTGATGAAGACAAAACATCACATGACACTAAAATACAAAACAAATGTAAAGAACCACTTCAACCCAAAACCTTAAGGTGTTAGGTGAGGGCCTTTTTAATGATCTATATTAATCTCTAACACACCCCCTCACATAAGAGCCCTTTGAACTTGAAGTGTGTATATTGCACAGGCCCAATCTTTGATTTATCTTTTTGTGCTTTTTGTTTTAATTCCACTTTAAAGTAAGGGGCGATGAGGATTGAACTTGTGACCTTGTAGTGACTGAAGCTCTGATACCATGTAAAGAACCACTACAACCCAAAACCTTAAGATGTAAGGTGAGGGCCTTTTTAATGATTTATATTAATCTCTAACAACAAATCACATTTTCCAAAAGCAGAACTTTGATACAGTAGTACAATTAAGATTTTGCAAAATTATTCACTTTTCTCAATAACCCAAGATTAAAAAAAAAAAAAAGATCAATACCCTTGTAGTCCATGCGGATCCGCAGGAAACCAAGTCTTCCTCAAAGATTGACGCCTACCAACGGATCCGAACCCGGTCTGAATACCCACAAAGGCCATAACTTTATGCCTACCCTGAACCCCACGATTGGTGCCGGTGGCGGCGCCGTGGTCCCAGAGCACTTTAACCGATCTGGGGTTGCCGTTGAGGCAGTGAGAGTCCCTCACCGGTCTCAGAAAAGCGGTGATTCCGAAGAAGAAACCGGAGATGGCGAAGAAGAGGAGGCATGAGAGGATGATTACGGAGGATCTGCGAGATGAGAATGATGCAGTAACAGGACGTGCATAGAAGGATTTTGGAGAAGAGGAAGGCATGGTTTTTCAAGGGAAACCCGGAACTGGTAGAAGCCCCGGTTGTGTGTGAAAGAGTGGAATGTGGTTTTGGTTCATGGCAAGTTAAAGGGTTGTGTCTTTTGTGTGTGTGTGGTGGGAGATAGTAAAGGTGATGGGTATTAAGCAGCTGAAGAGAGAGAGAGAGAAGAGAGAGAGAGATGGAAGAAGAAGAAGAAGAAGAGTAGTATAGAGAGAGAGAGAAAAGACAGCGGAACTGAAAGAAAGTGATGAACTAGTTTATGCTTAGCCAACAAGCATCTGTTATTGACAGTTATATTAGGTTCTGTTCAATCTCATCTCCAATGGGCTTCTTTTATTTATTTTTTGGTTGAAATCTCTTTAGGTCTTTATTTTTCATTAAATAAATGTTTTCGAGCCTAATTTGGTATGGTTGATTTTATATTTTTTTTACTTTATCATTTAAGAGTGAATCAATGTGTTGATGGTTGGTTATGGCTAATTCTTTGTATCTGGTTGATGACGTGTGTTTCCTATGCATATGGAATCCCATAGAGGCCTTGTATTATTATAGACCTAAATTTTTTTTAAAAATAATTGAATTTGGGTTCATGAATAGGTATTACGATTTAAAATTTGTGAACTTATTTATATTGTTTTGTAATGGAGTGACTATAGTAAGTGCTGTAAGTATAAGATTGAAGCTGTATTATTTCTGAACCATATATTATTTCTGATCCTATACATTTTTATTATTTTTTTACAATGTCTTGTTTTCTTTATTGTATTTTGAATAATTTTTATACTATGGAAGCATCTTAATGATTTATGCAGCAAACTGTAATCCTCATAAGAAATATTTTGCTTACGTAAAGGTTGATATTTGGTTATTTACCATTCAAATGAAATGCTTTTGCAGCTATTTCACCATTTTATGCAATAATCAACTTTTGATGAACTAAACAGATCATTATGTTAGTAATTGTAGGTGATAAATAAGATGATTTAAGCATAGGTGCCCATTTTGGAGCTGCATACCTTCCTTTGCCATCTTATTTTGCTCATCTCCAATTCATAACCAGTAAAATTTATTAAGGCGAGGCCATAAATTATCTTGCTTACCTCATCTTTTAACAAAATAGTCCCTAGTTACACATTGTGTAACAATTAAACTTACCGGTTGTTACGAACCTATTTTATGTTTTCCATATTTAGTGGTTAGTTTTCCTAAGAAACACTACTAAATTACAAGTTTGTGTCGAGCATTACACCATTTTTCTAAACATCTACTTTTTTTCAACTTCCCATTCAGCTTGCAGACTTTGCAAATGTTCCAAAAAAAGCTGTTTCATCATACATCACTGAGCATTCAACATTGGAATCCGTATCAAAATTGCTGCCTAAAAATGTTTTGCAGGACAAATTTGAAATATGGCCCTGCAAAGCATTTTCCTGAACTTCACCTATTTTGATATTCATGTCCTCCATAATTCTTACACCTGATTCAGTACCATCTTTGTTAGCACAACAGTTTTCACTAGATTGCTGTACTGACTCACTTGCCATTTGCATTTTGTTGCTCGTTCTCAATTCCTGCATATTGTTTCCTTCAATAGATTTCTCTGAGCCACCTGGAACCTTCAACTGGATGATCTTCTCTTCTCTAAAATGGTTACTTATTTCTGTTGATTCTTTGGCTCCTAATGCAGTGTCAACAGCTTGAGTATTATCATCTCTGTTGGCTTCACAGCCAGCCCTATAGTCTGGGTGATTTTTTCCCTCCACAAGTACATGTTCTGACTTAGCATCAACTTTGTTGGTAGTTATGTTTCCAACATCTTGTGGCAACGATTCAGCCATAGCTATTCCTTCATAACAGACACCTACTTTGATTGATTCATCTGTTGCTAAAGTTGATTGATCACGCAGACCTGTTTCAGGTGACAAAATAATGAATTTTAATTGTGTTTTACAATAATAGTACAATAACCATATACACCAAACGAAAATACCTTCAATGTTGTCCTTCCCGTACAAGGATTTTTCAAGTAACACCGTCCCAGGAAAAACCATCAAGTTGATTTTGTTCAATCTTTGCTTTTCAATGTCATCTACAGGAATGAATCCAAAGCCCTTAGTCCATGTCTCCACCACATCTGGAATGGCTGCTACCACAAGCTTTTCTACCTTGATAGACATTAACATCTGCTAATGAAAGAAATGGATTTAGAAACAAAAAAAGCCATTAAAGAAAGCCAAAAAGAAGCAAGTGTGGGAACATTCCAAATGCATAACTACATAGGAAGATAGTCACTAATTTCATATCTATATCATTTTTCAAAGAATGATTATTTTGGTGGACAAGAGAGTAATAATCCAACAAGAGCAAAACTGAAACAATATTTAATGATCCATTTTGTTTGAATACAAATTTTGAATAAATACATGAAACTACAGCCAAATTATACCTCTTGAATTGCACTCACAAGGAGTCGGCACATTCCCTGACGACGATACCGACTGCAAGTTGCAATTAGAGGCATCTCTGCAACTGTAGTTCCATGCACCCTGCATAGGACTAAAAGGCTTAAGAACAATGCAATAAAACAGATATGCCAAAGCCATTTCGTATAAATCAAAATTAATGCGACTATAACCTAATAATTCATAAATCAACTGGAAGGGTGAGCTTGAGCATTAAAATAATTGTTTTTACATATTCAAAAGGTAGCTGAAACAGAGCCATTTCACATAAATGTCAGAAAAGGGATTTTAAATACGTCAAATTCTACCATAAATTTTACAAGGTAAATATCTATAATATTATGTTTTACCTGATAGATGCTACAGATATCAACACATCCTGTTTCTCCAATACAAGAGTGTAAAACCCTTGAAAATTTAGACGAGCAAAATCAGACCTGAAAATCACAAGGAAATTGAGCCTTTCAAATCAAAATGAAAAAGGAGAAGAGAAGGAAAAAAAACTCGAGATTAAGGCTTTGGAAAAGAGCGTGAGGGGCAGAGGATTATTTAGACACAATAAAATAATGAAGCACATAAAAGAGGAGGGAAATTTATCGTAAGGAAGAGGCACTAACCCCCAGTTGTATATAACTTGGGGTAACATGTGTATGCCTGTTCTTGGATCCAACATAGACAAAAAACACTCCTCCATGATGGTAAGGGCAACGGCTAATTTGGTATTGCATACTGCCTTTAGGGCAAACCACTGGGCAGAATGAACCTTTTGGTCATCGTGGATGCATCTAAGAAGCATCCATGAGAAGCCATCAGCAACTTGATTAACTAACCCCATCTGAGATTGGAGACCAGAGTATACCTGCACATACCAGAGTCAAGTTCTTGAATAAATAGTACCAGTACTAAGATATTAGGTTATTTAGTCTTACTGTTAGTGGGCTTAGGCTTGTACTGGTAGTATAGTACTTGACCTAATTAATAATATAAATAGGAGTACTAGGCTAGGATATTGTAACACATTCTCGTATCAATAATATAGTGTTAGATTTTTCTTTTTCTCTTTCCTCTTCACTAAACCTGTAACTCTTAACAATATTATTGTAATAAAATCAAGCTGTTTAATCATATTATTGTAATAAAACACAAAAACACGGAATAAAATAAAATAATGCAACCCATTACACCATTAACCATATTATCTACATCAGGTAACCAGAAATGTTCACATGTAAATTTACTGATATGTGCCTTATTCCTATAAGAGAATGCCCCTTAAAGGCCTAAATACAGAAACCAACATTTTAAGACAAGCATAAGCGCCAGTGGCGGTGCATATAACAAAAGCAACTATACCAAAAGATAGAGACAAAAGCAACTATGCCAAATAATATGGACTCTTCGGTTGGTGTCAGAATACAAGCACTAGCGTGTATACATTAAATCCTGTTAGAAATAAAACTATTTATAAATATGTTGGACCTTTGAAGTTAGTTTATGAGTGTAGATGGAAAAAACAGAACAAAGCCCATAATGGGAGGCTCAAGGAAAATCAGGAGAATCAAGTCAATGCTGTTGAGGGACTAAAGGAAAGTGTGGAGGATGAGTTTGTTATTAGGAGTTACACGTGTAATGTGCTGAATGGAGAGGAGGTAGCGGGAGGGAACCATGTGGGAGAGTTGGTTATAAAGGAAAAGTAAGGATGGTGGAGGGACATCTGATGAGTATTTGCTTAGTGGAATAGGAGAGCTTGATGAGGAGTGTGGTCCTTTTCCTCATTAAAGAGAATCAGGGAGGGAACATCGAATCTGCAGCAAAGCTTGAATAATTGTTTCGCATTGTATTTAGTTACAGTATTTTCATTACAGTATTTGATATGGTCTCATGTTGAGTCTTAGCCTTTTTGGATTACTGTTTTATTGGTTTTTGTAAGAAGAAGTTGTTGCTGTAAGGGCTTGTCCCAATATTTACGGTGTAATTTTGGTATTTCTTGGCCAGTGGTACCATCAGAATATTCACCCAACAACTTAAGCTTTTGGAATAGTTGGTTCATAAGATGATATCATTGTCTATGTGATCAAGTGGTCAAGAATTCAATACTTGTCCCTCATTCTTCTAATATGAATGTGAATTTAAGCACAAGGTAGAGTGGGTCGGTGCATTTGTCCATGCTTCAAGTCCAGAGGACTCTTATGTGAAAAGGGTGTTAGATATAAAATCATTTATGATTCTTCACTTAACAGCTTAAGCTCCTCAGATAATCAATTTATGACTCATCCAAAATTCACAAATTAAAAATAATAATAATAAGATTCAAAATTTCTCCTTTTACATGTCAGTGAAAATATTTTCAATTCTCGTATGTGGTGAGTAAGTCAGAGAGAGAGCGAGAGATTAATAATCCACAATGAGTTTCCTAGGAAGAAGGAACGATGTAAAAGTTAGAGCAAAATATGGCTTTGAAAAGCTGCCAAATTTCATTCTGCTTTTGAGAAATTTAATGACAAAAACAATTATTATAATCACTAAAGTTTTATTTGGATAGAAAAATTTGAAATAAAACACAATTACCCTATTGGTTATCACACATTTTAGTTAAAAATTTAAATTTAGAGCTGTATAACTCTAAATCATATGCTATATGAGTCAAAGACTACATTTTAAATTTTTTAATCTTAAACTCGCTCATCCAAAAAATGCAACCTTTTAGAACTATATTTACCACATAAAAATTTTAATCAAATAATCAACATTTAATGTGCCAAAAGTATGTAAATAGTTAAAAACATAAACCAGACTTCAGAAAGCTTTAAATACCATCGTCAAAGTAAAGATAGTAAAATGACCAACTCATTACAAGCCACTACATTATCATGCAATATAACAGAAAATTAGCCATCATTTGCCAAATTCAAGAAATCCAATTCAAATGGAAGTCTGGAAATTTGAGAAATTGTAATATAATACCTCCTGACAACTCTGACTGCAAAACCAAGCGTCTGAAACTACCACTTCTTGTTTATCTCTCTCTCTCAGGCATTTCACATGATCTATTCATTACAAGTTTATAATAGTCAGATGCAATCATTATTGAAGCATAGAGAGGGAAAAAAGTGCACAAACTTTCAGATCAAAGAAATCTCTATTAAAAAAAATTAAAAAATCAATTATTATAATAAATTAATAACTAGGGCAGCTAAGTGCACGGGACTCCCACCACTGTAGTTTGCGGATAGTAAGATGTATGCAACCTTACCCTCGAAATAATAACAATAAATAAAAATTGTAGTAATGACAATAATTGAACCAAAAAATTGTTTCCCCATTAATCAAACTACAACATTCCAATTATTTAAACAAGATCAACAGAGAACACTTACATTTATGTTCACACTGTGAACATTGTAATGAATTATACGCATCTGAAGCCTCTTTATCGGTGACCAAATCTCCACATATCCGACACGTGCAGTTTGTGCAGTACCAATTGCCATCAGGGATTTCCTGATGTACACAAACAAAACATGTATCATGCTTTCAAGGCAGGGTAAGAGAACCCCAAAAATAGACACATCCACAACAATACAAACAATATACAAGAGAACTTTATTGATAACGAAATGCATGGCATAAAAAGAACATAAATAAACGTGTACACATGCTGGTAACACAAAGCAACTCATCCATACCAGCAAATGTCTATAAAGAGAGAGAATATACTCTCTGAATCTACTTATTAAATCACAGCCAAACTAAGCACAAAGTTCGTTAATTCATTTGGTATTGTATCATAAAAAGCAAGTAAAATATAATCCATGTAACTTTACCCTTGATCATTTTATTCATGTTCACAGAAGTGACAGAACCCACTCACCTACTAGCAAATCCTAATTACCATATCTGTGTGTTCTAGCAATCAGCTAAGTCAAAACAAATATTCCTAACTACAAACCAGAAGAATTACACTACCAGCAGGATATGACACAGGTGGAGGCAGAACTATGTTTTATGCTATTGTAAAGGTGAACATATATAGTATATATCAAAGAATAGCAGAGGAGGATGTTAAACAATCACTTAATATCAGGTTTGAATTCCCCAAATAAATAAAAAACTATTTATTTGCAATGACAAGGGAGGAAAAGAAGAAAAAGATTCATTACAACAAAAAAGAAACTAGCACAAACATGAGAGCAGACAGACCTGAGTGGACAAACAAGCCAGGTGAAAAGTAGACGGACAGCTATCACAACATATCAGCTCACCCCCCTCACCACACAATCCGCAGGAGTCATCATTTCTATCATTATCATCGACACGCACAGCCTGATTCTGACTTTTCCTGGCTTTGTATTCAGCTGACCAAGCTTGAAGAAGGCACAGTGTAAAGGGCTCACCAGACTCCATGAAAAGATTCAAGCAAGGGCGATTCAGTGTAAACCCAGCATGAAACTTGAACTCTGATAATGTAAGCACCTTACCACAACACTTACAAATAATACCATCTATAGTGATCCTACCATCCTTAAGGACAGAATTATCTTTAGGGTTTCGGTATTGAATCACATCATTTGAAGATATGACCCCATTCTCAATCAACCAGGACAAGACTGTCCTTGTCCCCAAATACCTCTTGCCATCTTTATTGTGTTTCCCTCCATTACAAGGGTTCCTTGGTAGCAACCTGCAACGGCCCCTTTGGCTTTTGAGCTTCCTACGGCCCCTTGATTTCCAGGATTTAGCTTTAGATTTACCACGGATTGTCTTTGGGCTGAAGTCCTTGTTCCTGAATATAGCCGACACCAATAGATCATCATCTTTAATCTGGCATCCGTTGGACTTATTTGTTCCAGTTATGGAGAAGTTTGTTTTCCTAATATGTTGCTGGATTGCACTGACAGATGACAACTTCCTGGGATTTCTTTTATTTCCTGAATTCTCAACTAGATAATCCTGGACCTCTTTCAACCCTAACTGACTGCCACATGCATCACCATTCAGAGACTGCACCTGGTCAGTAACAGTTGAGCTCAGCATGTCATTATGGTATAACATACTCAGTTTGATTTCAGATACCCTTTTGCACTTCCTCCGCATTTTCTTTTTAAGAAAAACATTAGTAGTAGAATATGTGTTATCTTTCCCAAATACAGAAGCTATTGAGATTTTCCTGCCCTCTTCCTCACTACATTCAGACTGTTGAATAGCCTCTGAGTCATGAGAACGAACCAGGCCATGGCTTACACCATATGTATTATTTTCCTTGGGCATGTCCATTGCCACATCTCCATGGATTCTTTTATCTGCTTCCAGATAATTTTCTGAAATCTGTTTATCAAAGCTTTTGGAACTTCTAATTTTAGCTTGATGAACAGCATTCACTTTAGAACCTCCAGGTATCTGGTTCAAATTTCCAGAGGTTGTAAGAATATTAAAAGAGGAAGCACTTGACAGGGTACCAGCGCTATCCAATCCATAACCAGGTAAAGGGACTAGATCCATACTACTTTTGTTCATTGACATTTTCCTACATTGATTTCCTATGCTGTTGGGATTATGTTCTTCAACATGTTTATCTTCCTGGTTGTCATCAGATTCCTGATTACAGGCATGGTTGTTAACCATAGAAGCAGTTAGTGTGGTTCCAGCGACTCTAGAAGAATCACAGAGAAAGGCTTGGTCATGTTTTTGCTCAATATGAGCAGCGGAAGTATCCTCCCAAGCTGAATCAACGGGAGCATATGCCATCTTATACTTACTAGAAACTAAACTCCAAGTTGCTTTCACTGCCTCTCCCTTTTTCAGGGCACCAATCTTTCTATCAAAAAATATAACAATTACAAAAGGATCCAAAAGCCACCATTGATAAGCCAACATAGCAGCAGACGCTGACTGCGTCTTTATGTTTTCAACATTTATCAGTGCACTGGATAGATCAGACCAGAATTGACTAATATCAGTCCATTCCTTACAATCTCCATAGATTAAATTGCATTTCTCGACAGACAAAAGCTGACCACATAATCTCCAAGCTTTTGTAAATTCCCGAACAGGCTTTCCCTCTGGTGTCCTATAAACCGACTCCATGTAACGCCTACAAGGCCGTTGACGCTTCTCAATAGACCATCCTGCCATCCTAAGCAACTGCACAATATGAAACTGAAGTAAAGTACGAGGATCCTTTTTGTCTAGTTTTGAGGATGAATTTGAGATATCCATATTAGAAGATAGAAACCCTTCCGGTATTTCCTCGGGATTTAGAGGAGACCCAGACTTCTTCAGAACAGTGATTGATGGACTTGTAACTACAAGCCTGTTTGCAAAGCTCTCCTGGGAAACAGGAGAAGAAACCGCTTTACTTACAGAGATCTCTTTACCAACATTCTCATCTGCTGTTGTTGATTTACAATTTGCAACATCTACATCCTCCTTAGCAGCTTTTTTATTCTGTAAAATGTTATGCTTCAACAGATAGCAACTAGATATCACACCTTGTTTAGATGATTCGACTAAGCGAAATGCAAGTGGTTCACTATCACGGTCAGTAACAGCAGAAGATAGGTTAGAAACTACTACTTTTGAAAGTCCTGATGAACCCAAAAAACTTTCTGAATCAGATCTACTACAAGGAAGTTCATGCAGAGAAAATTTCATACGCTTGACATTCACATCCTCATCATTCTGGTCCTCACAAATGAAACTCTCTGGCATAAACCCTGGAGCAGTCTCTTTGGGATGCTGAATTACATTAAAGTCCTCCTCAGGTTGTGTAAGTCTTGAAGATGAGGGACGCAATACAACTGAGTTTTCATTACTAGAGCAGAATGATTTAAATGTGTTCTTAGTGGATTCATGTTCAAAATTGATAACTCCAGAAACAAGACACCTCTGACTACACTGAAAAATGTCATTACCAGAAAAGACCTCTGTAAAAATCTGTCTTTCTTCATTAGATCCTTCAAAGTTATCATAACATAAATCCTCTATTTCTTTGCTGCTTGACATCGCTTCTGTCTAGTGCAGTTTCACTTTCCAACTTCTATTGCTGGTATATATTTGCCACCATTATAAAAAGCCAACTCTGCCATATTGTAAACCAATTTATGAAAAAGTAAGGCATTTCTTCAGCCATAAATTAATGGTTGATGAACTTCATTACTACAAACCCCAGTTAACACATATAAAATCACAAGGTAAAGGATTAAGAATCTGCATAAGAAAGCAAGGAAAGTTATTAAACTCCTATTCAAAATATAAGATACAAAATGAACTTATCATATAAATATAGTTATTAAACTCGTTTTCTCTCTCAATAGCATTAAGTATAAAGTTGAAATTTAAGTGAGGAGAAAGATTCATCAATGAGCAGACTTTATTACACAACAATCACGTAATAAATTTATCAGAAAACAATCACGTAATCAATTTACTCCCAACTTTACCAATGAGCATTCATCACAAGGATGCATTAAAAGATTCTTTCTCCTTCTTCACTACAATGTGAATTCGTATTATCTCAATAATTAAAAATGTAAACCATTAAAAGGTGTGGATAAACTAGATTTGTGAAAAAACAAGAAGCCACCAAAATAATTAAAACATTTAAACACCTAAATAAGGAAATTTTTAGTCCATAAGATAACTTCTGCTTTATCTTCTAGATATAGAACTATCATTATTCTTTTGGATGCATTGCCCTAAAAGACCAAGCAAGGCAATATCATCATATATTATTTGCCTAAATTCATGGGCATTTTCAATTATTAATCCAGGCGAAAGGGAATCTGACATTATTTTCATGCAACAGTGTCCTCAATTTGGAGAAAGATTATCATTGAACAAAGACGGCATATAGCATTTAACCAAGGGATAAGAGCTTGGAGATAATATATTTTTCATGCAACAGTGCTTTTCAACATTGAGAGAGTCTCATTTCTTCTAATGCAGTCTGCAAATCTAGTTTTTTTTTTTTTTGGGTACAGTGGACATACTCTTCTTCCAAATTATTAACTAGAAATGCTTCATTGCACTTGCTAAAAAAATTTTAAGTTTCATATAGAAGTGATGGAGAATGGTCTTTACTCTTTACTAACATGACACCAACGACTAAACAATGTTTTCTTCTAAAATTTTCAAAACAACGTTAGTAATGTTAGTAAATATTTCTTAGACAGCATCGTCACATAACACATGACAAGATGCAAAATACAACGGTTTGAACAAACACATTCAAAATACAACGGTTTAGGAAACTAAAAGCTGCCTTCAAACTTCAAAAGCAAAAAATTTAGGAACATTTGTGTAAGACACCTAAATTTAATTTAATTTTTTTTCTTTTTTAGGGAAAAAAGAAAGAAAGAAAGATCATGACAGAACACACACATACTAGTTAAGCAAAGCACTTCAAAGAGAGAGGGAATCCCCAAATTCTGGAACCAAAAATGAAGCATAAAATCTACATGCATGAATGGATAAGCAGCATTGAGACATAGAACAAGCACCGGGTCCAGAAATGAAGTTAAAAACCGAAAATCCATTGCAAAGATCTCACGACCGACCCTACCCAACTCAGATTCTGAAGAAAGCAATTCACAATCCATCCTCAGAAAAAAAAAAAAAAAAAAACTTTTCAACAAGCAGACACTACCCAGAAATTCAAATCAGGGTAAGAAAGCCAAAAGCCACGCACCCAGAATTAGGGTTCCTGGAAATTGCAGAAGCTCGTCAACATCTCTGAGCACCCAACAATGCTACGACGCCGTAACAGATGGCAAAGAGAAAAGAACACACATTGTTTCTCTCTCTAAAATCTGTATCATGTCATCCACTTTGCTTCTCTCTCTATCTATGTGTCTCTAAAGCATCTGATAGATAACTGAGTTATTTGTACCCTCTTTCATAATTTCATTACCACTTGGCTCATTTTAATAAACCCCTTTTGAATGAACCCCACACACACACACTCTCACTATCATTCTCATTCAGTTGCTTCTCTATGGAAAATGGGAAAATGGCAAAATGGGCCCCCATTAAGTAAACTAATACTCTCTGTTCATTTTCTTTCTCAGTTACCATTTCCTTCTATGTTGAGAGTAGATATTGATCCATTATTCCAATTCTTAATTAGTCCGATTTGAGTTAAATATGGTTATATATATAGATGACACGTGTATTAAGTTTTAGGAAAAAATATTTATTCTTTTAAATGACACAATTTATATCATTTCACTCTCATAAAGATGTGGGACCCACACCTTTATTTTTTTTGTTAATTCTCTTTCCTCATTTATCTATCTCTTTCTCACTATTAAAATGACACAATTTTATATCCTTTAAAATGACACACATTTTTTCCTAAGTTTTAACACAGGTATTCTCACGACTCGAATTCCAAAACTGATTAAGCTGAAACAATGTCTTATTATTTCCTCTAATGTTTTTTTTAGTATATAATTTTGATTATCTTTTTGAAGCGAGTCCACTCTTAATATTCACATGTGTCAATTTTTTGAGTCTTTTATGGAACTAGTCCTGAATCAAGCATAATCTCAATTAAAATTCATAATCTTTCCCACTCTATTCAACTTATATTATCAACTGAACTATACCCGTTAATTTCATTTCCTTCTATGTCAAAGAGAGATAATGTTTTTTTTCTTTTTTGCTAGACATGTATCTTTTATTTTGTTTCCTGAGACCGAGTTATAAATTCACAGTAACTTAAGTTGAATAGTAACTTAATATGTAGCTGGTTTTGAAAAAGTCTTTAAATTTTCTATACGGGGCAGGTTATATTTACAAACTTTTTTGTTTACAAACTCTTACAAACTACACTATGTTCTTCCGGGAGAACATAGTGTAATTTGTAAAAAAATTTAAAAAAAATTTGTAAATGGATCATTCTCCTTTCTATATATATGAAAACTAAATGGCTGGATCTTTTGATACCTCTCTCTCAACTCTCAACCATTGATTTTCATTAATTTAATAATGATAATTTGTTAGGTTACATTTATTAATTTTCAATAAATTACCATTGTCAAATTAGCAGAAATCAATAATTTAGATAAAGTGTCAAACTAAAAAATTTGACTTCGATATGAAAACACCCCGACTCAAAATAATATAAACGAAAATTTGGAATGATACTAACAAATACTATACAACCTTTATTTTATTTTTTTATTTTTTTTAGAATATACAACCTTTATTTTAATTATGCATAAGGTCAAGCGGTGATGAAATAAAATTTTAAGATAAAGGATAAAAGAAAAATTGCTATTTATATATGGAAGATTAGTGTCCTCTCAGATTAGTCATTCTATTGTGGCTCATGCAGAAAAGAAGCAAGCATGTGTGCCACTTCTCAGTTTTGTCTTAACATTGCATGTTATTTGGGAGGTGGATGTGGATTGAAGATAACTACTTTTCCTTTAGTTTTGAGTTTTGACCATGAGTTAGCATCCTTTTTGGAAACTTTCATGTAAAATAATGTTTTTGGATTTCTTGTCACAGAATATCATCTTTTAGCATTTTATTTTTATTTTGCGAAATCCAATTTGAGCAAATGCTTATCCAATTTGCCTGAACCAACCATGATATAAAGATTCTAAAAATTAAACTACACATGCACTTTATCTATGAAATTCATGGGCTAAATAAGATAGGCAATTTCGCGGTAGTCCACAAAAATTATGGAGAATTATTGTTAGAAAAATAATGTGAAAATAATTATTAAGAGGATAATTTGTATTCGATAAATTATTTCAATAATATCACCAAGTATGTGGATCAACGAGTAGGGGGTTATTCCAGCTTAATTAGTGGTCTCGAGTTCGAGTTCATAGGAACACAATTGTGTTAAAATTTAGTAGGAAGAGTTTTGTCGCCCAGCACCACTAGGGATAGCCTAGTGGTGTTGGGTGTGTTTAGGGTGTGCGGTTCAACTTCCTGTAATGTCCAAAAAAAAAGAGTTTTGTCGCCCATGTAATTCTACCTTATTCGAATCGAATTAGTCAAATATTCGATAAACCGATAGATAATATTTAAAAAAATATATATCATTTCAACAAATGTGATTCCATGAAACACACATAAAAAATTGAAATATATAATAATACAAAGTTAAAGTGTATCATAAAGAAATATAGAAATACAATAATAAAAAATTTGAGCCTAATGTTAGACATTACATCTTTAAAACAATTACCTTTTTTATGGTGCCCAAAATTCCTAGATAGTTGTCTTTCAAGATAAAACAAATTATCTTGTACCAACACTCTCACATAGAGCAACAATCTTATTGAACTAACCTATATTTAACTAATCACGCTAGAGTAAAAGAATACAAATGCAAAATTAATTCTAACAATAATTTCACTTGAATTTGAATCAGGGACTATTACATTCATTTAATTCATTTAACACAATATATATAATTGGACAATCTAATTCAACATAACATAAATATAGGGATGACAAATTTCTTTCTATTAAATTTTTAACACATTTATTTATTCACAACTCAAATTTAAAATTGTTCATTAAATTGAAATAATTTCATATTAATTGATGCTATAAATATAAGTTTACACTTTTGTTTTGTCATTGGAGCATATTTTTTATGTGATGAGAGTAGATATTTCTTTATAAAAAATAAAATAAAATAAAATAATCATAAAAATTGAAATAATGTAAATGAATTATTATTTTTAATATTTAACAAAGGATATATATATTAAGTGCTCAATATTCAAGCAAATATTTTCTTATCATTGCTGTAATTGTCGGAGTAAGGGTGCAGTGACAGCAAGAATGCAGGAGCACTTTTCCAAATTTGGTCAGTTTCCCAAGTCGTCATAATGGTGAAGTTGAACTGAAGGTTTAAAAGTGGGAATATTAAATGAAACGAAATGTTTATCGCTGTCTTTTACGGGAAAAACAACTATTACAAAGAAAAATTTTAGGTGATGTAATAGAGATAATTAATACCCAATGGGTGCAGCTCAGTTGGTAACTTGGCGCTGAGTTAGTGGGGTTGGATATGTGTTCGATTCCCGCTGAATGCATTCTTGGGAAGGGGGCTGAACCTTTAGCCATCACTGTTTCCCCGCACTCCGGATTAGTCCCATAGCCGGCTCAAAGAGTCGAAGCTCGTGGGGATACCGGAGGAAGCCAACTCGTCTCAAAGAGATAATTAGGGTTGGGTAACTCCAAAAAAAAACAAATAGAGATAATTAATTGTGGGAGTTGTTATTTAAAAAAAAAAAAAAAGAATCAATGGATTCACTTTTATTTAATATTAGATAGCGATGAAAATGATGACTTCATTTTATTGTTATGTTTGATAGTAGTGATTGATTAAAAAATCACAATAAAAACTAATTTATGATTTTTTTAAGGGAAAAACTACTCTTATGCAACATAAGAGTAGTTTATCTCCTATAGACCCATCGAAAATTGTGACACTTTTTTTTCTTTTCTTTTTTCTTTTTTGAAAATAGTGGGTCCCACAACATATGTCTCTACAACATAAGGTATTTTCTCTCATATAACATGAGATTAGATGAATTTTTTTAATGTTAAATAGGCTTAGCTTAATATAATTGAAGCCAATTAACTTTTAGGTTGGACCAGGGTTAAGTCAATCCACGCTAAATTTAAAGCTACAATGGTGGGCTAAAAAATTGGGCTATTTTTTACGGGAGAAAATGTTATATTTACAAAAAATTTATTTATAAATTGTATTAAGTATGATCGGTCATACTTCAATCAAGAATGTATGACCGGTCATACTTAGTGTAATTTGTAAAAAAAATTGTAAACGAATTCTTTTTCTTTCTACATTTATATTTTGATAAAATAAAAATAAAAACGTGAATTTCATAAAAAAAATTGTGGAATACATTATTCATTAAATTTTATCTCTTAAACACATATAAAAATATGTAAGGCCTATATTTTTTTTCTCTCCTCTCTTTATATAACTCCACACGAGCCTCACACACTATATATATATATATATATATATATATATATATATATATATATATATATATATATAAGAGATAAACTTATCTCTTATAACATCAAATCCTTTATTTAATTGTGTGAATACTCATTAGTCATTCATTTGTCTGTTTCCATTCTATTATCTAAAATTAACTGATTTGGAATGTTTGGAGGAACAAATTTGAAGAAAAATGGAAGGAAAAGAAAAACCTTCAATCTAAGTAAATATTTTTTTCACTTGAAATTCTTTTAAATGAGGAGAATGAAATGACAAATTAATATGTCATCTTTTGATTTTTTATTTTTTATTATATATATATTATATATTTTAAAATTTTAAAATAAAAAAATGACTCCTCCTTTTCAGTTTTTCCCCTAAACTTCTCCATCCAAAGATGAACTAAAATATTGATTCAGAAATCAAACAATAATAGCTCAGTTGGCACATGGGAGTTAAGCAAGTGAGGTGAGAGCATATATTCAATCATCTCCAATATGTTTAAAGCTTTAATCCTGGACTCGTCCCGAATAGAATTCCCTCTCATGAAATATACATTTAAAAAAAATATTGATCAAGATGGTTTAAGATGTGATTGAAACGACGATTAGAAAAACAAATTGATTAATCCAATAAAGTCGATTGATTTTTCAGTCAAATTGATTAATCCATATTATATATTTACAAACTTTTTATTTACAAACTACACTATGTCTTACTAGTAAAACACTCTTGAGTGAAGTCTTACAGGTAAGACATAATGTAGTTTGTAAAAAAAAAAAAATTGTCATTATAATCCTCCTCGATTTTCAAAG